TCTCCTGATGCAAACCTGCCCAGTGGCTTTGGTAGGGTGGAATGGCAGGACCCGCACCTCTGAACTGAGAGAACAGAACAGAGGATCATGGGATGACTAGAGCAAAAGGAAGCAAAAACTCCAAGGGAAGGTGACCGGGGGGGGGGGGGGGAGTTGTGGGGGGTGAGGGAGCTCTCATGGGAGCGGGGCTTCACCTGCCTTCATTCCTGGGAGGGGGCCTGAGGGTGAGAAGCAGAGTCTCGTGGGCCCCTGGGGTGACGGTGATGCTGTCTCAGGTCCGTGATCCCCACCTTACCTCGCAGCCTCTTTGCCGGCCCCGTGGGCCCACAACGCCTGCCTTCAGCCATGCCGCTCCTATTTCTGTGTCCTGAGCACGTCACACTCATGCCAGCACCAGCCTCCAGACCTTTGTTCCTGCTGAGCAAATCTCTGGCCCTGCAAACCGTCTTTCTTTCCCGGCCTGTCATGACCTTCCTTCAAGACCTGCCTTTTCTGAGAAGCCTCCCCTGACTTGGGACCCCTTCTCGAGCTCCTAAGCCTCCTGGTCTCTGGCCTGCTCACCCCGTCCTGGGCACAGAAGGCTGTGGGCGGCGCTGGTGTGCCCATTGCTCTCCCTTCCCAGCGGGCCTCCCTTACACTCAAATTGCTTCGTGTTCTCCACCTCTGTCCACCTGGACTGTCACGTGGCTCCATGCTGGTCTCCTGGCCTGCTCTTCCTCCCCCCCACCCCCCCACTCACTACTCTAGTGCTCTCTGCCCTTTGAAGCACACGCGGACCTCCCCTCCCCCAGGAAGCCCTCAAGGCACCCCCTTGGAGTTGAGTGCTCATCCAGACCATACGATCTCTGTTCTTGTACTGACTTCTATTTTTGCCTTGAGCACATTGTATTTTCTCCCCTCCTGCATTGTAACTTCATAAAGAACAGCCTGGCATCTTATCCACTTCTGTATCCCAGCCAGGAACAAATGGTGGTTTAGCCAAAGTGAAGGATCGTCATGCACGTGAAGGCCCACTTATTCTCTGGCGTCTGAGCCTGGGTGTCTTCTCCCCTGACAAGCTCCCCTGACTGCCCCAGGGTGGGACTCTGAGTGCCTTGCAATCATTCACACACCTGACTCAGGGGGTCACCCCTGGTTCTCAGCACAGGGCCTGCTGGCGAAGGAGCAAATGCGCTGACTGCACATCAGCTCCTGGAGGGCGGGATGGCCTTGCTTTCGTCTTGGTGCCCGTGTCTCCTTGGTGCCCATCACAGACCCTTGAAAATGGCAGGTCTCTCTGACACATGTTTGGCAAATGGCTGAGGCAGTTGTATGGGTTCCAAGACTCTTGGGGCCAGAGGGGAGGGCTGAAGAGAATTCCAGGTTGTGGGGCATTTCTGGCCAAGCACACAAGTGCTCCTGAGACTGGGGCATTGGGTGTGGGCTGGACTCCCCTCCGAGCCTGACTGTGCCCTCTGAGGATCGCGAGGCATCTGCCACACTGCCTCCCTCTGCACGGGTGCCTTTACCCTCTGGCCTGGCCCCTAGGGGAAGGCGAGGCTGTGCTCTGGCCTGCCCACGACCCCTAGCTGTCCATTATCCATCAGTGTGCCCACTGCCTCCCAGGCCGGATTAGGCCTGGCCTGAAGCACAGATGTGCTGCTGGGCACCAGGGGAAGCAACCTAGTTCAGCCCCCTGGAAGGCACACACCTCTGCGTGGCCCAGGTGCCAGCCCGGTTTGATAGGTGCCCCAGTCTCCTGGGGGGAGGGGAGGGCTCCCTGCCCACCTTGCCCCTGAGGGCCTCTCCATTGTCTTCAAGTGCCCAGGGCAGGTATCCTTCCCTTCCCTACCTCCCCCTGCCCCACCTTCCCTGGACCTTGCATTTGGCTCCTCAGTCTCCCTGCCTCTCAGCCGCTCTCTCTCTGCCTGCAGCCCCTCCATGTCCTGGTCCCCCTTCCCCTGCAGCCCCTCCATGTCCTGGTCCCCCTTCCCCGACTCTGGCCTCTATGTGTATTTTTAGCTGCCACTCTCAGTGGTGGCAGCATAGTTAGCCCCTCGTTTCAACACAACCCTGGCCCAGGAGTTGAGTTGGGGAGTCCTGGCTGGCACGGCCCCACCCTTGAGGGGGTTGAAGAGATGAGCACTCAGGCCTTCGCCCCTAGTTCCCCATCCAGCACCAGGGACTGGTATGCCCAGTAGTTGGATAGGGGGGCAGAAGTGGGGCTCGAGGAGGATGCCCTCTGCCCAGAGTTGAAGTCGCTAGGTCAGAGGCCCTGGGCAGGGCAGAAGGGTAGTTTTCTCTGCCAGGTGGTTAGAGTGCCCTGAGGGGAGGTGGGGGGGGGGGCGGTGGGGAGGCAAGGACTGAGAAGAGAAATTAGGTCCGGGAAGTGGGTGGGTGGGTGAGAGGGGACGCGGGGGCATCTGCTGCAGAGCTTCCTTCAGGCTCCAAAAGCATCTCCACGCTTCCCTTCCTCTCCCCTCCTCCCAGGTCCTGGGAGGATTTGCCCTGTACTCCCCCTCCCCCATGCCCCCGCCCCAGGCGTTGCCACGAGGGTGGGGGGTGGGGTGGGGGGAGGCCTGCCTCAGCTGTCTGAAGGATGGAGGGGCTGGGGAAATAGGGCTAGGTGCCCAGACGGCCGCGTGTGTGGGAGGGGATGTCCTCAGATGCCCTCCACCCGGCAGTCCCCGCTCTGACGTGGGTGCCCCCCCTCTCCCCGCCCGGATTAGTGGCAGCTTGGCCTGACTCTCCGGGGCTCCTTCCCCCGCCCCCGCCTGCTGCCCTCCCCTGGGCAGGGGGCTGCTCCACCCGAGGGGCACTGTGCTTGCCCAGGTAAGGGGCTCCGGGGACAGCGTGAGGGCACTGGCTCGTGAGTGCTGCTGCACTTGTCGGCATGAATGTGTGTCTCCGTGTGTTGCGTGTGGCAATGTGTGAGGGGTTGCCGTGGGGCAGGGTGGGCCCACGTGTGTCTGGGGGTTCTGGTCAGCTTGCCTTTGTCCACTGATCCAGCACTGTGCCCACGTGTTGTGTGGCTTTCCTTCTGTGTTTGTGTCTTTTGTGTGTCTCCTCAGCTCTGCTCAGTCAGTCCTCAGGCTACCAGGGCTCTGTGGGCCTGTAGCATGGGCCGTGGAGCAGGATGGGGTGCTGGGTGAAGGGGAAAAGGGGCTCCTTCCCCGACCTCACGCCCGTAACCCCCTGAGCATTTCAGAAGCCTGTCCTGACAGTCCTGGTCTGATCCAGAGACTGTGACCTGACAAAGCAGACATGGCAACTGGGTGGGTGGGGTGGAGGGAGGTATCTGTTCCTGCTCCCCTGGGACAGTCCTCATCCCCTTTGGGGATGGCAGTGACAGGCCCTTAGGCCCCCCCCCCCCCAACAGCCTGGGCTCCCACCACCCTGCCCAGCCTCTTCTAGGCCCCAAGCCACAGGAATCTCCACTCCACGCCCCCCCCCCCCCAGACTCTCCCGAAAGCTTCAAGCTTCAGCTGCCGGAGGACACAGATGGGGGACCACAGGCACACCCCAGCCCCATCTGCACCCTGGAGCCAGCTTGGGAGTGGGAGGCTGGGGCTCAGGATTGCAGTTGGTAGTAGACCCTCCACAATCATTGCCCCTGGCACGCTCAGGTCTGGCCACCCCTCAGGGGAACTGGGGGAGGAAGGGAGTGCTAATAACTCAGTCAAGTAAACAACCCCTACCAGCTTGCCCAGCCACAGAACTGGCCTGGGGGGAGGGGGGGAGCCCCGTGGGGCAGAGGGAATCCAAGCCAACCTGATCCAAGTCCTGCTGGGGCCAGCGCCTTCAGGCCTCCTCTCCTCCGGACCCTCCTCCTCCCTCAGCTGGTGAAAGGACCCCCTGCCTCCCCTCCGGTCTCCTGGAAGGAAAGCTCCCCTCTCCCCGGTGGTGTGACCTGGGACCCAGCTGGGCATCAGGGGACCGTCCCTTTGATGGGCTGGGGTGGGTGGGGTGCTGCTGCCTCTGTCCTGGGCTGGGTGAAGGCAGGCCGAGGATGGCCTCCACAGGGAGCAGGGGAGTCTCGGGGTGGGAGGGGGGTGCCTGAGGTAAGGGAAGCGCCCGTTGGGCGTGTGGGTTTCTGTGTGTGTCTGAATCTGCCTGTGTGCGTTTGAATCTGTCTGTTTGTGTCTGTGCTCTGGAACCACCCCCGCAGAGGAGCCGGGATGCTTCCTCGGGTGGAGGGTGCCCTGCTTTCCCATTTCCTCTCCTCTCTGTTCCTTCCCAGGAGCCACTCCCATGGGCTCCTCTCCAGTGCTCGGCCTGGAAGCAGTAGGAGCAGGGACGGGGCAGACCCCCTGAGTGTGAGGCTGGAGGGGGTAGTGGAGCGGGACCCACCTCCGCCCAGACACTTGGAGAGACCGAGGCCTTGAGAGCAGGGGCAGACTGGAGCCTAGGCCCTCCCAGGAGCCTAACACCGGAAACTGTGCCACTGGGCTGTGGGAGGGGGCTTGGGTCAGGAGGTGAAGAGCAGCTTGGCCAGGTGAGGAGGAGGCAGCGCAGACACCGCCAGCGGCGTGTACCCATGTACCAGAGCTGGAGAGGACCGGGAGCCGTGGTCCAGCAGGCACAGGGCCGGCTGGCGTGGGTCAGAGTGCCCATCACTGACCCGTGAGAACCCGACTGCCCCTGCCAGCTCTGGCACTGCCCCCTCGCAGCCGCTTGCCCTAGCACCCCAGGGGGCACCCCGCCCCACAGTGGCCTGGTCCGGCCCCTCCCGCCCTTTGCTCCAGTTCCCGGGCTTGGTACCTATAGTGGGGGTGCTGCCCGCCTGCCAGGCTCCGGGGCCGGGCCCACGGGAGGGTGGGGCGGCTGGGAAGCTGGCACGCTGCCCCCGGGGAGCCTCTCTCGGCAGGCGCCCGGGTGCCGCGGGGGGAGGGGGGAACAAAGGGCTCATTCTCCCCATGCGCAGCCGGTGGCATCGCCGGGGCGTTGGCGGAAGCCCCCGGGGCACGGGAGGGGGCAGGCCCAGGCGGGGCCGCCGAATCACGGGCTCCTGTTTCCCGCAGGGTGCTGGAGGAGGAAACCGGCGGAGCAGCTTCCTCACTCTCAGTTGCGCGTCTGGCGATGGCGATCAGAGGTCCTGCTGCGCTCCCCGCTGCGCTCTCCCTCCATTAGCCGCGCTGCCCCGCTTTGCGCCCTCGCTGGTCCTCTCGCCTGGGTTCCAGGATCGGCGCCCCCTTCCAGGCACGATCCCCTCCCCCGGCCCCTCGGCCTTTCCCCCACTCGGCCGTCTCCGACCCGGGGCGCGCGTTCGCCCAGCCCGGCTCCCTCTCTCCCTCCGGGGACACCGCTCCCTAGCCCCAGCCCGGCCCTCCCCGCGGCGCAGCACGGAGTCTCCGCGTCCCATGGCGCAACCCACTGCCTCGGCCCAAAAGCTGGTGCGGCCGATCCGCGCCGTGTGCCGCATCCTGCAGATCCCGGAGTCCGACCCCTCCAACCTGCGGCCCTAGAGCGCTCCCGCTGCCCCGGGGGAGAGAGAGCGCCAGCGCGCTGAGCACGGAGCGCGGGGTAAGGAGGCCTCGCCCGCCGGCCGGGAGGCCCCGGAGCCAGCCCATGGGGAGCGAGCGTCCGACGCCGGCCCCGAGGACCACCGCCCGAGCCGCACCTGGCCCGTGAAGCCCAGGTAAGCGCCGAGAGGCGGCGCCAGGGGCGCGCCTTCGGGGACACTTGGCTGGGTCCGAGCTCCCCGTGCTCCTCTGGTCTGGGCCACACATCCGAACCTTAAGGTGCCCGAGGGGGCTTGGCCGCGTTGGAGCGGTGGCCCCAGAAAACCCGGGAGCTCTCTGTCCTGGCTACGGCCTGGGGCTTCCCCCAGGGGGCCACGAGCAGGGAGCACTGTGGCTCTAGTGCCACCTGTCATTCTGGTCCTTCTCACGCTCGTTCAATTTTCCCTCCTTTGCCTCCGTCTGGGGTGCAGCCCGCTTTCCCCGCCTCCTTCCCTCCCCCCACCAGGCTACGGTTACTGTGGCCGCTGGTGGCTCTGGCACTGCCAACTGGAGTGGGGTAGCTTTACCCATCCCAGCTGAGGTCTCTAATCCTCCTCTCCTGTGCTGGCCCACTCCTTCCCTTGGGGGCACGGTGGAGATGCCCGTCCTCAGCAGGCGTCCTGGGACTCATTCGGAAGCCAAGGAACTGTAGAGCACTGGGAAGAGGCAGAGACGGCTGCCCAGGTGTGGGAAGCAGTACCAGCCAGCCCTGCCTGGAGGCTCTCCCCAGTGACTCCAGCCTGCACGCCCCACCCCTATAAGCCTGGGTGGAGCTGAGCGGTGGGGGTGGGCAAGCAGCACCCCCAGAACCACAGGCTGCATTTGGGAAGAGGCCTCTGGGACCGCCGCTCTCCAAGCCCTGTTTTACACAGTGGCACCTGAGGTCCAGAGGAGTGGCGAGACTTGCCCAAAGTGACACAGCGGTGGCGGAGGCAGGGCCCAGATCCAGTCTCCTTGTCCCCAGTACAGCGATTTCCACCCAGCTCATCCTCTGGGTTCTTGTCCCCATCCTTCCCCATGGCCTGTGCCGAGGTTCCAGGCTCTGTGAGGCATGTCATCTTAGACACAGCAGTCTCTACTGAGGGGCTCTGGCCCCAGAGGGCTGTCAAATCCCAGGTGTTTGGGGGTAGGGATGGCCCTTTACACGGCTGCATCCCACCCAGGTGGGTCCTCAAGCCGCATGTGGGCAGGCAGCATGGATCCCAGCTGTGGGTTGGCACTTGCCTTACTGGTTTGAGCCGCCTTGGTGTTGCCAGGGCGGTACCCACTCTGTGCTTGGGGCAGAGTGCCTAAGAAGCTCATATTTTGGTGGTTATGCTCTAGGGACCCCCTCTGGGAGAGCCCCATGAGGGCAGGAGAGTGATGGAGAGTACGCCCAGCTTCCTGAAGGATACCCCAGCCTGGGAGAAGACTGCCCCTGAGAATGGCATCATGGGACGAGAGCCGAATGCCCTGCCACGAGACGGCCTGCGCCACGGGGCACTGTGCCTGGGAGAGCCTGCTCCCTTCTGGAGGGGTGTCCTGAGCACCCCAAACTCCTGGCTTCCCCCTGGCTTCCCTCAGGGCCCCAAGGACACGCTCCCACTGGTGGAGAGTGAAGGCCCCCGGAATGGGGAGAGGAAGGCCAGCTGGCTGGGCGGCAAGGAGGGGCTGTGCTGGAAAGAGGCGATGCTCACCCATCCACTGGCATTATATGGGTCAGCATGCCCGCCTCGCTATGGCCCCCTGATTCCTGAGCATAGCAGTGGCCATCCAAAAAGTGACCCTGTGGCCTTCCGGCCCTTGCACTGCCCCTTCCTGCTGGAGACCAAGATCTTGGAGCGAGCTCCCTTCTGGGTGCCCACCTGCTTACCACCCTACCTAGTGTCCAGCCTGCCTCCAGAGCGTCCATGTGACTGGCCCCTGGCCCCGCACCCCTGGGTGTACTCCGGGGGCCAGCCCAAAGTGCCCTCTGCTTTCAGCTTAGGCAGCAAGGTGAGTGTTGTAGCAGGCCATGCAAGGCAGCTCAGTGGTCCTCAAGCAGCCCTGTCAGGGCCACACCACACTGCCCTTCCATCCTGATGAAAAAATAAGGCAGCACCCAAATAGAGGAGCCTGTGAGCTCAGACAAAGTCAAGGCCAAGCAGTTCCTCTTCTGAGCACCTCCATCTCACTAGGCCTTTCCTGCCTTCGGGCCGTTTCAGGGACTGACTCATCCATTGTCCACTCAGAACAAGGCCCTGGGAGTTGGGGCCTCAGAATGTGTGTCTTGTTCCGGGAAAGGGGGGCAGACAAAGCCCTCTATCTGGGAAGATGTGCAGGCAGTCCCAAGGCCTGTGTCTAGGACACCTCCCCCACAGGCAACCCCCATGCCCAGGGATGAGATCTAGGCTATTTAAAACTGGTATGGTACAGGGCAGCAGATAATCTGGAGCGATCCTGGTGACCCTTTGGCTGTGCCAGACATTAGCCCTTTAGTTGCTGGGTTGCGGAGAAGTCTGAGAAATCCCAGGGGATGACCTGGGGGTGGCCAGGGCAGTGGGGTGGCACGTAGGAGGAGCAGTACCTATTGACCAGTATGTGAGATGTGAGTTCTTTAGTGTTTTCACAACCTGTAAGGCCAAACAGGCACATACCTACTGGTCTTCAGTGTGTTCGTTTCTTTTTAAGCACTGGGAGCCCAAGTCAGCACCAGCTTAATCCTTTCTCACCGGCTCAATCCTTTCTCCTCTCTTCAGGGTTTTTACCATAAGGATCCGAATATTCTCAGGCTGGCAAAGGAGCCGTTGGCAACGGTGGACCCTGGGTTGTTGGGCTTAGCCCCTGGCGGGCCGCTCCAGAGAAGCGGGGAGGCAGAGTGCCCTTCGCTCCACCCGAGGGATGGAGAGACAGGCCTCGGCAGGCATCAGAATCTCTGCCCACTTCTCCTGGGGCATCCAGACACTGTTCCCCGGACCCCCTGGCCCATTTGTCCCCCAGGCCTTGTTCATACTCTTGGCAACGTCTGGACTGTCCCGGGCGGTGGGGGCCTTGGGTACCAGCTGAGGCCATCAACCACATCAAGGTGCCCCTCTCCTGGGCCTCCCACCACCCAGGTGGGCTGTTACTCATCCCACCCACCTGCTGGAGATGGAGGCCTTGACCCTTGTGGGAAGTGCCAGGAGGGCCTGGAGGGGGGTGCCAGGGGGTCCAGCGAGTCCATCGAGGAAGCAAACAAGGCCTCTGGTCCCAGGGCCTGCCTGCCCAACCACCACACCAAGCTGAAGAAGACGTGGCTCACGAGACACTCGGAGCAGTTCGGGTGCCCGGGAGGCTGCCCTGGGGACGAGGAGAGCCCAGCTGCCCCGCTTCAGGCCCTCAAGAGGGCAAGTAGCCCTGAGGTCCAGGGAGTGGCCGGCAGCCCAGCCGCCAAGCGCCCCCCTGACCCTTTCCCAGGCAGTGCAGGGCAGGACGTCCTGGACTCATCACTGGGGAACAAGGCGGAGGCAGAACAGCGCGCTGACCGCAGAGGTAAGGGGCAGGGGAGGGCCTGTGTGGGCCCTGCTTGGGAGGGGGCAGCAAGACAGGAGCTTTGCAAGGAGGTGGGGTCAGAGGTCCTTTATGAGTGGGTCGGACCAGCATCTGTGGGGAGTGCCTCCGCATCTACAGGCCCGGGCCTTCAAGCAAGTGGCTTCTATTTCTGTCTGCCTCCTCCCAAGCCTTGGTGTATTGGTGGCCGTGTAATGACATGGTTCAGAGCTTGGGCTCTGGAGTCAGAGTGCCTGGGTCCTGACTTTGCTGACTGGTAGCTGCATGACCTTGAGCTAGCTGCTTCACCCCTCTGCGCCTCAGTTTCTGCATTTATAAAATGGGGATAAAGATGACACCTACCTCATAAAGACTCCTGCAAAGATTAAATGATACAATTCACAGAGAAGGCTTTGAAGAACTGGCACTTAGCACCCAATAAATGTTTGCCTTCGTGATGGTCTGTGCCACAATCCCTGTCTGAGGCCTGCCTCTCCCGAGGGACCCCTTGTCCTGCCTCAGGAACAAACAACTCTGCTAGCCAGCTGGATCACGGAAACTCAGTTTGGACTCTGCCCGTGTTGATGCTCTGGGCACATCCTGGACCCCTCTGTCACGCTGTGCCCTTCACAGAGAAACACTCGGGCGCTGGCAGCCCCAGCCTCAGTTCCCGGGATCACCTCGGGTTCTTGGCCTCCTGAACTGCTGGGCCTGGATGCGGACTCTCTCAATGGCCGTGCCCGGGCACCCTGCACCTGGTGCGGGTCTGTCCACACTCTCGTAGGCCTGCGCCTGGGCTGGGAAGCCATTGACCTCTTGGCCTTCTTGGGTTACTGCACCTGTGGTCTGTGTTGAAACTCTCCGGCCTTCTCACCTTCCAGCGCTCTCCGTCCGTCCACGTCGGGATTGTCTCCTCACACTGTCACCCAGCCAGCGGCATTGCTAAGCTCACGGTGGAGCTATCCAAAGTCTCCACTGGCTGGATCCTGCACTTGGGTCAGGACCATCACCTGAGCTGCCCCGGCCTTGGGTTCAACGCACCTGACCCTCCTCTCAGTCCCATCAGTCATGTCAGGGCATCGTCAAGCTCCTCTCGTGGCCTTTTTTGTGAAGCTTCTAGCTGCCTGGTCCACTCTCACTGGTTCCAAGTCAGGCCTCGGGGGCCTGAGCCTAAAGACTGGGCTGGTTCTGCGTGTGGACATCTGGGGGCTAAGGCAGGGTCTGGGGTTCGCACAAGCCCAGGGAGGCCCAGACCCCTGACCAGCTGCATTGTCCTCTTAGGACCCCGAGATGGCAGGGCCGGCCTCCAGGACCCAGGGCGTCAGGATGCACCTTGCTCAGCTCCCCCGGCAGGCATTGCTCAGTGCCAAAGCTGTGCCCAGGCAGCGGGCGAGGTGGGAGGGCTGGCCTGCCACTCCCAGCAAGTGCCCAGGTGAGCCCTTGCCCCTGGATGTCCCCACGTCCTCCCACTCGGGGCTCCCTCCTCACCTTCCTCTGCCCTGTCTCCAGATCGTCTCTGGGAGGGGAGCAGCAGGAGGAAGACTCGGCAGCCAGCTCCGAGGAGGGAGGAGGCTCGGGCCCGAAGGCCGGGCCCAGCGTGGGCCTCGCCAAACACCTTCTGAGTGGTTTGGGGGACCGACTGTGCCGCCTGCTGCGGAGGGAGCGGGAGGCCCTGGCCTGGGCACAGCGGGAAGGTGAGCAGCACCCACAGGGCACTGGGGAACCCAGGAGAGCCTGGTGCTTTCACCAGGAGCATGGGGACCTCCAAGCGTGAACCCCGCCTTCCCACCAGCACCGCCCTGTCCTCCCGTTCAGGAGGACGCCTGCCCGCCTTGCCCTTATTCCCGGCTAAGGCTCTTAGTCACCGTGTTTTCTGAAGTTTCTGACCTGGGAGGCGGATGTCGGGAAGGTATAAAACCTGGCCCAGCCCACTGTCTAAGAGCTCCGGGCTTGTTGGGGAAACAAGACTGAGTGCCAAGTGTCTGTAAGAGCACTTGAAGGCGGGGAGCTCCCTGCGGGTGGTGCATGAGGAAGGCTCCCTGGGTGGCGAGGCTCCCGGGCCCGCGGAGGCTGGTAGGATCAGGGCTGATGTCTGAGGCTGTGGAGTCCCTCTGCCTCCAGGCTCTCCCTCCTGCATCATTTCATGGCGCCTCAAGAGCAGTGTGTTTGGGAAAACACCCCTGTGGTCCATCACTTCTGGTGGAGGCCCATTGGCAGCTTCCTCTTGCTGCAGAAAGTCCAGCCCCTACCCCGTTTCATCAGCCCCTGCCACTCCCTGAACCTGAATTCCCGGCACCCCGAATCACCTGCAGGCCTGCGCGTCCTTCCCGGCTTGTCCACCCCTTCTGACCTTGGCACTTTCTGCTGCTTCTGTCTGGAAGGCCCTTCTCATCCCCTCCCACCTGGTGAATGAAAACTTACTCATCCCTCAGGCCCATCTGTGAGCCTGCCCCCACCATCCCCACCCTCGGCCTCCATCGCATTCTCGCACCCCAGCACCCACTCTGTGGGGCCTTCATCATTGCCATGTTTATGGGTCCATCTCCCCTTGGAATGTGAGCACTGGGAGGGTGAGAGCCAAGTCCTGACTAGCTCTGGATCCCAGTCTCTAGCCCAAACAAGGTGTTTGTTGAATGAATAAGTGAACATTTGCTCACTGGCATCCTTGCACCTATCAGTGGGGGCCTAGTCTGAAACTCTGGGTGAGGGAAGGCATAGCCTCTTAAAATGTCCTCTTCGGTGCTGAGTCCCCTGCAGAAAGCCAACTTGGGAGGGAGGGAGGCAGGGGAGGGAGGGAGAGGGGCGGGTGAAGAAATGTGTGGAAGTGGTGTGGGCTGGTAATTCAGGGCCAATGGGAAAATCCGTGGGGCAGGAACTGGGGAGATGGGGCCTGCGCCATCCCTGGGAGGGTTTGCTGGAGGCAGTGGTGCTCCGGGGAGGTTCTGTACGGGGGGCTGTCGAGTAAGCGGGGCATCTGTGAGGGGCCTGTTTCCCTTCTGGGGCAGCCCCTTGCTGGAAACTGCCCCCGCTTCTCCTCCAGGCAGGTCTGCCACATGAGGACCCCCAAAGGGGCCTGTGCATGAGCCCTCTCTGACCCTATTCTCTCCCGTGGTCAGCAGGCCAGGGGCCAGCTAGGACAGAGGACAACCCAGGCGTTCCAGGTTGCTGCAGCCGCTGCCACCATGGACTCTTCAACACCCACTGGAGATGCCCCCGCTGCAGCCACCGGCTGTGTGTGGCCTGTGGTCGCATGGAGGGTGCTGGGAGGGCCAGGGAGAAAGCAGGTAGGAAAGGAGCCAGGGGCCGAGGGTGGGAGGGCAGGGACTGGGGCCTCGGACGGCCTGCTCTAAGGTTTGTGGCCATTTCTTGGCTGCCTCTCTCCAAGAAAGCCTCCCTCCCCAGCCCCAGCATCAGCCACTACTGCCCAGTGCCCCATAGAGCAGACCTTCTCCTCTCCCCACATCTGAGGGCCATGCCCGTGTCCTTCCCACCCTTGAAAGGAGTCGTGTGCCTACTCGGTGCCTCCCATTTTCTCAGCTTGCACCTTTTTAAACCTTCCAACACGGAGGTGGCTATTTTTGCCTCTATTTTCCAGATTAGAAAAACTCAGGGATGTTAAGTGACTCATCCAAGGTGGTCACATAGCTACTGAGCGTTGGCCCGGGATTTAGCCTCAGCTTCTGATTCCAAGTCCAGTTCTTTTCACTGTTCTCAGCTTTCTCTCCTTGGCTCAACTCGGCCACTGGATGGGCTTGAAGTTGCCCAGCGTTCTAATAGACAGGGCCAAAAAGAGTTCCAGGGTAGAAACGTTCAGAACACTCTATTCTACGTGGTCATTATGGAGTTTTGCAACTCATATCAGCATATTAAAGTGTCTGCGTTCCAAAAGCAAAGGATCGTATGTCACAGCCGAACCCAAGTGTCCCAGAAAGCCCATGCTTTATGGATTGTCGCGTCCCCTGGTTTAGATATCGGTGCTCCTACCCTTCCTCCCTGATCTTAACTTGTGCTTGCCTTGATTTTCTGACATGCAGCTTCTCCCTTTCTACCCCACAGGCTCTCCGGAGCAGCCCACGGAGGAGTGTGCCCAGGAGGCTGGGCACAGCGCCTCCTCCCTGATGCTCACCCAGTTTGTTTCCAGCCAGGGTGAGTCATTGTGGAGGGGTGGAGGCATGCAGGGGGCGGGTCCTGGGGGAGAGCAGCTTCCTGTTTGGATGCCATGCCCTCCTGGTTGGTGAGGTCAAGCAGCACAGGGCTGCCTCTTGTCTGCAGTCACCACCAAACTCCATCTCTCCCCCGCCGGCCCCCCACCTCCAGCTTTGGCAGAACTGAGCACCGCAATGCACCAGGTCTGGATCAAGTTTGATATCCGGGAGCACTGTCCCTGCCAAGCTGATGCCCAGGTGTGGGCCCCTGGGGATGGGGGCCAGCAGGTAAGAAGCACGGACGGTGACAGAGTACTAGCCGTGGGCCCCAGGATTGCGTAGTGTGATGCACAGGACTGACCTTGGCAGGGTTTGGCCCCTTTCTTTTGATGGGAACGAAGAGGAGCATCAGGCTACTGCCCACCCTCCCATGTGGATTTGGGTCCATGGAGCCAGTGTTAGCATTTGTTCCCCCGCCCCCCCGCCCCGCCCCCTGCCCAGCAGAAGCCCTCACTGTGCACAGCCAGAGCGCCTACCCACTCTGCGCATGTTCCAGCTCAGCACTTGCCACATCTTGCTTGAGCGGCTTGCTTTCCTGTCCTGTCTGTCCACATCCCAGGCACAGACTCCTGCCGGCGGAATGTTGGCTCATCTCAGTATTCCCTGCACCTCTCACACAGCAGGGGCTAGATAGGCATTTTGCAAAGCTTTTATGAAGCTGGAGTTTTTGTTATAAAAGTTATTCACTCAAGAAATAGTTTATTGAATGCATTTTGCATGACAGACTCCATGCTACATGCCCGTGGTGGAAAATTTGGAAAATACGGACAGGGGGATAAGGAAGAAAATGACAGTGGCCTGTAACGCCACACGATCATTTTGGTATCAGTAGTTTGCCTATCTGTTTATTCGAGTCTGTTCTAGTGTACTTCAGATTGGGCTGTACATAGGATCCCATGAGCAGCTTTTCCCCACCTAACGTTATATAACCTTTTGCTTCTTGTAAACATGATTTTAGGACGTACAAGAGTCTGTTGTTAATGCTTGTGGGTTGAGTTGGATTGAGTTGCCTTTGCCATTTTAAAATCTCTGGTTGGACTGGGGGTGGTGGATGGGTTTAACAGAAGGAGCCTAGAGAGAAAAACACCCCAACTCCACAACCTTCCTGCACGGAGGACACCAACAGGACCAAGGACATCAAAGCGGGTGAGGCCCCTGCCCCTGGTTCCGACTGGGGTGGGCGTGCTGGGCCAGGTGGGAAGCCTCAGGAGAGACTGGAATGGCTTTAGCCGCCCCCTCCCCCAATTGCTAGCACTATTCTCAAGTCACTCCAGAGAAAGTAAATCTAAACAAAACCTAGGACAAGCCTCCTGATCTCTTTCCAGCCAGAACCCCTTCCTGAGCCCTCCTTGGGAGAGGCTCTGGAGCTGCCAATAGGAAAGCTGGGGTGGGAGGCGAGTGCATCCAGAGCGATGGGCCAGCCAATGAGGAGAGAGTGGAGCGATGGGCCAGCCAGTGAGGAGGGAGTGGAGCGATGGGCCAGCCAATGAGGGGAGAGTGGAGCGATGGGCCAGCCAATGAGGAGAGAGTGGAGCGATGGGCCAGCCAGTGAGGAGGGAGTGGAGCGATGGGCCAGCCAGTGAGGGGAGAGTGGAGTGATGGGCCAGCCAGTGAGGAGGGAGTGGAGCGATGGGCCAGCCAATGAGGAGAGAGTGGAGCGATGGGCCAGCCAATGAGGAGAGAGTGGAGCGATGGGCCAGCCAATGAGGAGAGAGTGGAGCGATGGGCCAGCCAGTGAGGAGGGAGTGGAGCGATGGGCCAGCCAATGAGGGGAGAGTGGAGCGATGGGCCAGCCAATGAGGGGAGAGTGGAGCGATGGGCCAGCCAATGAGGAGAGAGTGGAGCGATGGGCCAGCCAATGAGGGGAGAGTGGAGCGATGGGCCAGCCAATGAGGGGAGAGTGGAGCGATGGGCCAGCCAATGAGGGGAGAGTGGAGCGATGGGCCAGCCAATGAGGGGAGAGTGGAGCGATGGGCCAGCCAATGAGGGGAGAGTGGAGCGATGGCCAGCCAATGAGGGGAGAGTGGAGCGATGGCCAGCCAATGAGGGGAGAGTGGAGCGATGGCCAGCCAGTGAGGGGAGAGTGGAGCGATGGGCCAGCCAGTGAGGAGAGAGTGGAGCGATGGGCCAGCCAGTGAGGAGAGAGTGGAGCGATGGGCCAGCCAGTGAGGAGAGAGTGGAGCGATGGGCCAGCCAGTGAGGGGAGAGTGGAGCGATGGGCCAGCCAGTGAGGAGGGAGTGGAGCGATGGGCCAGCCAGTGAGGAGGGAGTGGAGCGATGGGCCAGCCAGTGAGGAGGGAGTGGAGCGATGGGCCAGCCAATGAGGAGGGAGTGGAGCGATGGGCCAGCCAGTGAGGAGAGAGTGGAGCGATGGGCCAGCCAGTGAGGAGAGAGTGGAGCGATGGGCCAGCCAGTGAGGAGGGAGTGGAGCGATGGGCCAGCCAGTGAGGAGAGAGTGGAGCGATGGGCCAGCCAGTGAGGGGAGAGTGGAGCGATGGCCAGCCAGTGAGGAGGGAGTGGAGCGATGGGCCAGCCAATGAGGAGGGAGTGGAGCGATGGGCCAGCCAGTGAGGAGAGAGTGGAGCGATGGGCCAGCCAGTGAGGAGAGAGTGGAGCGATGGGCCAGCCAGTGAGGAGAGAGTGGAGCGATGGGCCAGCCAATGAGGGGAGAGTGGAGCGATGGGCCAGCCAGTGAGGAGGGAGTGGAGCGATGGGCCAGCCAGTGAGGAGGGAGTGGAGCGATGGGCCAGCCAGTGAGGAGGGAGTGGAGCGATGGGCCAGCCAGTGAGGAGGGAGTGGAGCGATGGGCCAGCCAGTGAGGAGGGAGTGGAGCGATGGGCCAGCCAGTGAGGAGGGAGTGGAGCGATGGCCAGCCAGTGAGGAGGGAGTGGAGCGATGGGCCAGGCAGTGAGGAGGGAGTGGAGCGATGGGCCAGGCAGTGAGGAGGGAGTGGAGCGATGGGCCAGCCAGTGAGGAGAGAGTGGAGCGATGGGCCAGCCAATGAGGAGGGAGTGGAGCGATGGGCCAGCCAATGAGGAGGAGTGGAGCGATGGGCCAGCCAGTGAGGAGGGAGTGGAGCGATGGGCCAGCCAGTGAGGAGGGAGTGGAGCGATGGGCCAGCCAGTGAGGAGGGAGTGGAGCGATGGGCCAGCCAGTGAGGAGGGAGTGGAGCGATGGCCAGCCAGTGAGGAGGGAGTGGAGCGATGGCCAGCCAGTGAGGAGGGAGTGGAGCGATGGCCAGCCAATGAGGAGGGAGTGGAGCGATGGCCAGTCAGTGAGGAGGGAGTGGAGCGATGGGCCAGCCAGTGAGGAGGGAGTGGAGCGATGGGCCAGCCAGTGAGGAGGGAGTGGAGCGATGGCCAGCCAGTGAGGAGGGAGTGGAGCGATGGGCCAGCCAGTGAGGAGGGAGTGGAGCGATGGGCCAGCCAGTGAGGAGAGAGTGGAGCGATGGGCCAGCCAGTGAGGAGGGAGTGGAGCGATGGGCCAGCCAGTGAGGAGAGAGTGGAGCGATGGGCCAGCCAGTGAGGAGGGAGTGGAGCGATGGGCCAGCCAGTGAGGAGGGAGTGGAGCGATGGGCCAGCCAGTGAGGAGGGAGTGGAGCGATGGGCCAGCCAGTGAGGAGGGAGTGGAGCGATGGGCCAGCCAGTGAGGAGGGAGTGGAGCGATGGGCCAGCCAGTGAGGAGGGAGTGGAGCGATGGGCCAGCCAGTGAGGAGAGAGTGGAGCGATGGGCCAGCCAGTGAGGAGGGAGTGGAGCGATGGGCCAGCCAGTGAGGAGAGAGTGGAGCGATGGGCCAGCCAGTGAGGAGGGAGTGGAGCGATGGGCCAGCCAGTGAGGAGGGAGTGGAGCGATGGGCCAGCCAATGAGGGGAGAGTGGAGCGATGGGCCAGCCAGTGAGGAGAGAGTGGAGCGATGGGCCAGCCAGTGAGGGGAGAGTGGAGCGATGGGCCAGCCAGTGAGGAGAGAGTGGAGCGATGGGCCAGCCAGTGAGGAGGGAGTGGAGCGATGGGCCAGCAAGTGAGGAGAGAGTGGAGCGATGGGCCAGCCAATAAGGAGGGAGTGGAGCGATGGGCCAGCCAGTGAGGAGGGAGTGGAGCGATGGGCCAGCCAATGAGGGGAGAGTGGAGCGATGGGCCAGCCAGTGAGGAGGGAGTGGAGCGATGGGCCAGCCAGTGAGGAGAGAGTGGAGCGATGGGCCAGCCAGTGAGGAGAGAGTGGAGCGATGGGCCAGCCAATGAGGAGGGAGTGGAGCGATGGGCCAGCCAGTGAGGAGGGAGTGGAGCGATGGGCCAGCCAATGAGGGGAGAGTGGAGCGATGGGCCAGCCAGTGAGGAGGGAGTGGAGCGATGGGCCAGCCAGTGAGGAGAGAGTGGAGCGATGGGCCAGCCAATAAGGAGGGAGTGGAGCGATGGGCCAGCCAGTGAGGAGGGAGTGGAGCGATGGGCCAGCCAGTGAGGAGGGAGTGGGCTTGGCCAGGAGATGAGGAAGAGCATGTGGGCAACGGAGCCTCAAGAGGAAGGGGAAGCCTTCACTGTTTTCCTCCTCAACAGAGACCCTGGACTCCACAGAGACGCCTGCCAAGGACCGTGCCAGCCGAGGGCCCCTGCCTTGTCCCTCTCTCTGTGAACTGCTGGCCTCCACCGCTGTCAAACTCTGCTTGGGGCATGAGCGGATACATATGGCCTTTGCCCCTGTCACTCCAGCCCTGCCCAGCGTGAGCACGCGCATGGGGGGCACGCTGGGGGCGGAGGTGGGGCTGGCCCTCCCTGCGAGCTTGGCAGGTCCTGAGTCCCTCTGCCTTCCATCACCCCCTGCCTCCGTAGGATGACCGAATCACCAATATCCTGGACAGCATCATCGCGCAGGTAGTGGAACGGAAGATCCAGGAGAAAGCCCTGGGGCCTGGGCTGCGGCCGGGGCCAGCCCTGCGCAAGGGCCTGGGCCTGCCCCTCTCACCAGTGCGGCCTAGGCTGCCTCCGCCGGGGGCTTTGCTGTGGCTGCAGGAGCCCAGGCCTCGGCGAGGCTTCCACCTCTTCCAGGAGCACTGGAGGCAGGGCCAGGTGAGGCTCTCACCACCCCACTGCCGGCTCTCACAGCCTCGCCTCCCCTCAGGGCCCTGATCCCTAGGCCTGGCCCAGCACTTCGAGCAGCGGTTCTCAACCTGTGGGTTGCGACCCCTTTGGAGGTCGAATGACCCTTTCACAGGGGTCGCCTAAATACATCCTGCATATCAGATATTTACATGACGATTCATAACAGTAGCAAAATGACAGTTATGAAGTAGCAACAAAAATAATTTTATGGCTGGGGGTCACCACCACATGAGGAACTGTATGAAAGGGTCGCGGCTTTAGGAAGGCTGAGAACCACTGACTTAGAGGGAGCAGCAGGGGCTGGTCCCTGAGCTGTTCTGGTGATCTCTCCCACACACCCCGCCTGAGCATGTTGGGCAGCCCATCTTTCTCCCCGTGTCCCCATCCCCCCACTACAGCCTGTGTTGGTGTCAGGGATTCAGAGGACATTGCAAGGCAGCCTGTGGGGGACCGAGGCTCTTGAGGCGCTTGGAGGCCAGGTGCAGGCGCTGACCCCCCTCGGGCCTCCGCAGCCTACAAACCTGGGCGCGGCGGCCTTCTGGGATGGATTCTCCCGGCCTGAGAGTAAGTGTCTTTGGTGTGGGGTCGAGGGAGCTGGGAGCCAGAGCCAGGTGGCAGCGGAGGCCCAGAGGGACCCTGGGGGCAGCTGGAAGCAGGGCCTGGGGCAGAAACAGGACTGTCTTGCTGCCCCGGGGACAGGGCCGCGGGGCAATGCCCTCTCTGTTCCTCCCCTAGTTCGCCCAAAGTCATCTGAGGGCTCGGTCCTCCTGCTGCACAGAGCTCTGCGGGATGAGGACGCAAGCAGGTGTGTGTGGGACCAAGGGCTGGCCCTCCCTCCTCTCCTCCTTACCCCCACCTGTGACCCTTGGCATACTCTGCTTGCCTCTGGGAGTGACCCCTGGAGTGGAGGGCTTTGATGGGGTCTCTGGTGCCTGGGTTGAGCCTGCTGGGCATGACTCCTCCCCCACAGGCTGGAGAACCTGGCTGCCAGCCTGCCCCTCCCAGAGTACTGTGCCCAACATGGGAAACTCAACCTGGCTTCCTACCTCCCACCGGGCCCTGCCCTGTGTCCACTGGAGCCCCAGCTGTGGGCAGCCTATGGTAAGCATGCACTGCACTCCTGCCAGTCCCTGCCCCATTCCTATTATCTCTGTGCCTATACGTCTGTGCCAAGGTTCTGGCACCTTTTCCCAACTGTCCTTTCTCTACCTCCGTGCAGGTGTAAGCCCACACCGTGGGCACCTGGGGACCAAGAACCTCTGTGTGGAGGTGACTGACCTGGTCAGCATCCTGGTCCGTGCTGAAGCCCCACTGCCTGCCTGGCATCGGGCACAGAAAGGTGGGTCCTCGGGCGGAAGCAGGGTGGGGACAAGCTGCAGATGTGAGGTGCTGTGCCTGTCTGCCCGGGGCTCTCCTGACCGTCTTTGTCTCTCAGACTTCCTCTCAGGCCTGGATGGGGAGGGGCTCTGGTCTCCAGGCAGCCAGGTCAGCACCGTGTGGCACGTGTTCCGGGCACAGGACGCCCAACGCATCCGCCGTTTTCTCCAGATGGTGAGGAGGGAGACGGGACCCTGCCCTTCCCCGATGCAGCCCCTTGGCTCCCTGGGAGCAGGACTTCCCACCCAGAAGCCCTCCCTGTCTGTGTTCTCTGGGCTCCCCACTCCCTCAGGTGAGCCTCGACTCACACGCATGTGCAGAGAAGGCAGACTGGGACCTTGTGGGAGTCATGCGGTGGGTGCACAGAAAGAGCAAGGGTTGAGGTGAGAGCCAGTGATGACATGGACTCGGAGTTGCTGCAAGCTAGGCACTGTATTGAGGCCTCGGTCCATTATCTCAGTTCATGGTCACACCACTCCTTCATACACACAGGCTGCTTTCCCATTTTTCAGATGAGGAAAACTGAGGCTGAGTGGTAGAGCTGGGACCTGAGCTTATAGCTGTTCCCATCCCAGGTCACCACCCTGTGCTCCTCCTGGGGCCTCCCCTACATAGGCAAAGGGAAGCCCGTCTGAGATGCCCACCTGCTACGCTCCCTTAAGTCATCGACATCTCATGAGGAGGTGCTCCTTGAGGTGCTAGCAAGTAAGGGCTGAAGGAGGCCACCTGGCAGGTGGAGGGAGAGACTGGACCACACTGAGGGGCAGGGGAAGAGAAGGCGAGCAGGAGGCAGGAAGGGCCAGCGGCTGGGGCCAGCATTGAGGTTAGAGCAGGTCCAGTTTCAAAGTCTGGCTGAGCTCGGGTTGTCCTGCGGAAAAGACGTCCACCAAGTGTCACCCCTGCTAAGGCATCTGCTCACATGCAGACATGCCGATGTCAACATGGCTGCCCACCACCACCCTCCTGCCCACAGGCATGCACATCTGCAGATATGTCGACAGGCACATGTAGACCTGTAGATGCACACACAGATGCTGGAACACATCTGCAGAGGGGAGCAGACAGAAGCATCCCTTCGTACCCACATGGCAGTCCCATATGGCCAAATCCAATGACACATGGGTAATCTGAGGGGTGCAGTCTCACAGGGTGGCCTGGGGAGCACTGACCTAGCCCCAGGATGGACTTGAACTGGGGGGCGGGGTCAAAGGAGCCTTGGCTCCTGCCTAGAGCTACCTGAGGGTCCAACCTGGCTTTACCAGTCTGCCCCTCCCCGTGGCTCAGTCTTGGAGCCTGAAGCCCAGAGACCATTGCTGAGGTTCTAGCTGAAGGGGTGGGTTTCGCTGGTGGCCAGTTGGGGCGCGATGCTGGTGTCAGCCTCTGTAGGTATTCCCTAGGCATCTGCTCTGGCCTCTGCCGGTCCCTGTCTGCCCAGGGAGCTCCCTGCTCGGGTTTGGCTGGCAAAGCCGCCTCCACGGCTGTGCTTGCTTCAGGGGCCTTGGCCCGGACGGGCCAGCCTGCCCATCCACTGGGAATCAGAGCTGCTGTGTGTCCTTGCTGCTTCTGAGTCTGGGATCATAGAAGAATTTGGATTTTCTCTCCAGGAACACCTAATCACCTACAATTTAGCACACAATTCCGATGTTCGCTGGAATCCAGGTTAAGAGGGGATATATAGCAAGTTCATGAGTTGGGACTATTCAGGGTGTCTTCCTGGGTTTTGGAGAAAGGGGCATGTTTGCGTGACGGAGGAGAGGGCCCAGGGCCAGGCTCCTCAAGGCCTCTGGATTCAGGAAAAGCGGGGATTTAGACCCCCCTCACCTCAGGGCCCTTAATCCTTTCCCCTAAGCTCCTTTCAGCCAAATCTCCAATCTGCCAACCTTAGTGGCTGCAGCCCCTCACCACCCAGCCCCTTTCTCTCCCTCCTACTAGTATGTCCTCTCTGCTTGCCCTTCAAGACTTGAACACTCAGCTGTTTCCAGTGCCCACAGCCCTGCCCTCGCCTCCCTCCCTTGCTCATTCCCCTTTCTCTTCTTTGAGGTGTGTCCGGCTGGGGCAGGCAACCTGGAGCCTGGCACCCCAGGAAGCTGCTACCTGGATGCAGGGCTTCGGCGGCGCCTACGGGAGGAGTGGGGTGTGAGCTGCTGGACCCTGCTGCAGGCCCCCGGAGAGGCCGTGCTGGTCCCTGCAGGGGCTCCCCACCAGGTGTGTCCCCAGGGGCCCGGCTCTGCTGAGAGCTCAGAGTGCCAGAAACAGCAAGAACAGCAGCACAGCGATGCTGCATCCCCCACCTGGTATGGCCTTGTCCCTCTCCAGACCCGGGGACCTAGGCTGGCAGGAAGCACACTCCCACTGTGGCATTCTTGAACTGGGCTTTGGGTCCGTGGGTGCTGACTCTGCCTGTGCCATCTCTGGCATCCCCTTGGCCTGGTTTTGGCTATGCCCTTGGGGATGCTGGTGCTGGATCCAGAGCCTCTGAGAGCTGGGCAGGGTCATGATGGGAAATAGAGATCAGGGCCAACCTGGGAAGCGTGAATCTCCACTGACCCTCCTGTTCCCCTCCTTCCTGGCACAGGTGCAGGGCCTGGTAAGCACAGTGAGTGTCACTCAGCACTTCATGTCCCCCGAGACCTCTGCCCTCTCTGCTCAGCTCTGCCACCAGGGATCCAGCCTGTCCCCTGACTGCCGCCTGCTTTGTGCCCAGGTGAGTATGACGCTGGCCAGGGAGCTGGGTGTGCTTCCTAAGTCCTCCTGTGGCACAGCTGGGGTGGCACAGCAGATACAGCTCTGTGCCAAGCAGGCAGCTAGCCGAGGCCAGGAAGGGCGTTCTTCTTGGTGGGGAGAGCCCACGAATGCGACTGTGAACTCCGTGTCCTCTCTTTTTCTCCTAGGTGGACTGGGCTGTGTTCCAAGCAGTGAAGTTGGCTGTGGGAACATTACGGGAGGCTAAATAGAGGGATCCCAGGTGTCTGGGGTAGAGGTGGTGGGTAGGTAGACCAGGTGCTCAGCTCAGGCACAGCATAAGCAGAGAAGACACTGGGGACTTGGGGACTTTTGGTCAATTCCACACGCACCACTCTGGGTACCAGCAGGACACCCTGTTTCCCGCTTCTAACCTGGGCCCTAAAGCCAACAACCACAGTACCACTGAAGTTCACGCCTGCCCTTCGCAGGCTGGCACCTGCTCCGCCCCGTGCCCGTCTCCATGGTACCAGGCCCACACTGGGGGTGACTGACTCCCTTCACCCGCTGCCCCCCAACCCAAGAGACAAACAGCCTTTCCTTGGGGGACTTTGGGAATCACTCTGGCTTAAGCAACACCTTCTACTCCCTCATCTCCTGCTGTCCCACCTGCGCCAAGCTCTGTTACACACCCACCTCCTCACGGGACTCTGGGCGCCCATGCACTGCAGGCATCTGGACAAGGGGCCGCTGAAATCCTGCCCTCTTGTTCGAGAGAGAGCTGTGACGCGTGGGGCGGGGCAGCCTCAGGACACTACCCAGGCTTGGCTGAAGGGAATGACAGGGGTGAGGCCCTGTCCCTGTTCCCTCCTCTCACCTCCCTCCTTCCTATTTTCCATTAAAGTCTGTCGTTTTCTGAAAGCCACCAGGCCAGTGTGGTTGGCCCTGCTCCTGCTGGCCACATAGATTGGGGAAGGAGGGGAGACATGGAAATGGAACCAGGTGGGCAGGAGCTGGGCTGTCCCTGACGGGGGCCTCAGGCACCCCTGCCTGCTCTTCTTCCCTGGACCTGGGTCCCTCCCTCTCACTGAGCAGATGGAGCCTTCCAGGGGGGTACCCTGAGGATGCTCCTGACAAGCGACAATAGCAAGGCAGAGCCCTGGGCACAGCAGCAAGGTGGCTTGAACCCCAACCCTCCCCGAAAACTCCAGGCTGCCCCATCTCTTCCATCTGATCTGACTTGGAGCTCCGGGAGTGTGGCCCAGGAGAGCCCCGGCCAGGGCTTGGCCTGCTGCCTGCGCCGGTTGGCAGCCCCTCCCCATCCCCAGGGCTCTCTGTGTGGCTCTGCCTGTTGCCCTGCCCTAGCACACCTCAGCCAGCATGCTCCCACTCGTCATACCTGATTGTTCTGCGGTGGTTCGGGAAATGTGTGTGTGATTTTTTTAATAAAATAAAATTTTTTATTATAAATTTAATACACTTTCAGAACATTTAGAAAATAAGAAATGTCATCTGTAATGCCACCTCCACTCACTCTCAACCCAACCACTGATCGTATTTTGGTATATTTCCTCCTAGCATTTCCTCGTGTAAAGGATCTGTGTTACATGCAGTTGAATTGGTTTGCTTTTTACTTGGTTTCTCTCTTTTAACAAAAGCTCTTGTGATCATTTCCTGGGTTGCTACCTAACCTTCATTATTAATGGCTGCTTATATTCCCTTACGTGGCTTTGCCATGATTTACATAGCCATCCTTCATTTAAAAAAAAAACAAACACCAAAAAACGTTCCTTCATTGTCTGCAAAGCTAGATTATTTTCATTTTTTCATGTGATAGAAAAACAAAAAATTAAGGGACTCCTGCACTTTACTGTGCCACTGTTTTCCTTTAAGTCAGGGGTCCTCAAACTTTTTAAACAGGGGGCCAGTTCACTGTCCCTCAGACAGTTGGAGGGCCGGACTATAGTTTAAAAAAAAAACAAAAAACTATGAACAAATTCCTATGCACACTGCACATATCTTATTTTGAAGTAAAAAAACAAAATGGGAACAAATACAATATTTGTATTTGCATGTGGCCCGCGGGCCGTAGTTTGAGGACCCCTGCTTTAAGTGATTTCCTTTCATCTGGTGTCATGATTCTGAGGTAGATGTTATTTATTTCTATTACACAGAAGAGGAACAGGCAGGCTGGGGGGTAAGTGAGTCACCCAAGGCCACACTGCAATTTCAGTGGCAGAATTGGGATTTGAACCACTTGTCCTGACTCCAGCCGCCTCATTTACTTGGGGCTTAATGGCCTTTGCAGATGGCTCTGATGACTGCTCTGTCCTCCTTCCAATACATGCACTTTGTAGCTGATCATGTTCCAAGTGGCACTGGGTGACCCATCCCTACCTACACTTCTCCTTATATAGCCTTGTCCTGGTGTCACCCCAGAACACCAAATACAGGGTCCTTCCTCTGCGAAGATGGGGGTGGCTCTGCCATGGGGCCTCTCTCTTCCCCACAGACCTCTGCTTGGGGTCACAGTACCCTCCAGGGAATATTGGGTCAGACTCCATGCAAACAGCAGGTGGACCAACCGTCCCAGGACTGGACTGGGGATGAAGCCAGTTCAGATGGGGACTGGCCTTGAGACTTGAGGCACTTGGTGGCCCTCTTCCTTATAGAGGCTTAGCTTGTCCCCCACCCAGTCCAGCCCTGCTCTTTAGGCCTCTGCTTTTCCCAGCAGCCCCACTGCCTGCCTTCACCTCCAGCCTCTCTCGCTGGCCCGGATGGCGAGGCACACCCTCAAGGCTAGAAATGACCTCAGGTGTGTATGCTTCATGCTACCTTTCTTTTTTTCTGATAAAGTACATTTTCTAGATTCTTCATTTTGAAATGATTGTAGATTTACAATCGAGTCACCAAAATAGCACAGATCATTCCCAGTTATCCTTCAGCCAGCTTCCTCTCATGTTAACATGGTACATAACCATGGCACAGTGATCAGAACTAAGACATTGGTTTCCATACAACACTATTGACTAAGCAACAGACTTTATTGAGATTCACTAGTTTTCCCTCGATATCCATTCTGTTTCAGGATTCACTTCTGCCTGTGTCTTACCAATGACCCAGACGGTAGATGTGGCTTTCCCAAGATCACAGCAAGCTAGTGGCATCGCCCAGGCTGAGGCCAGACCTCCACCCTAACCCTGGGCTACTGCCCTCCTTACCCTTCCCACTTTGACAAGGGACAGGGTTTGTTGCTCTGTGGCCAACTCTGGTGTTACAGACGCCCTTCCCTGCCCTGCCTACCCATGCCATCCCTTCGGCTTCTGAGGTTGCCTACACTGCCCTTCTGCACTCCTACTCACATGCATAAGTGGGTCCATGTGCCCTGGAATGGCTGGCTCGGGCTTCGCTCCTGTGGGCACTGTACTGTGTGGACACTCTGGGCCACCCTGCTGCATGGCTACCCCCACCTGCCAGCGATCTTCCCTCTCTGGAAATGGAGGGCATGGAGGACACATGAGGGAGACCTTTCTTTGTTTCTGGTTCTGAAGGTTTCTATCTCAGCCCCCCCCCCCCCCCCCATATCCTCAGCTTTTCCCATCTGTCTCAGGGCCTCTCCTGCCTCAGTCTGGGGTGTGCTCCCTTCCTCCCAAAGCCTGAGAAAGCCTGCCTTCTGTTGTCTCCCTCAGCTCCCAGGAAGGGCTGGCACCGTCCGAGGGCCTCGCCAGGGCTGCCCTTCACAGTTTACAAGCGGCTTTCATGGTTGCCTCCTGTGCTCCTCACCACAGAGGTGATTAGGTCCACTTCAGAGGAGCGGAGCACTTTTCCCAGCGATAATGGGGGGAGTGGAGCCGCGGTTTGTTGAAGTCTTTGCTCTTTTAGGCAGTCAGGCTGTCTGGTGTTTATCTTAGGCTGCCTCTGAGGCTCTCACAGCCCTGCCCAGACATGACCTCATTCTCTCTCAAATCATCCCCGGGAGGCAGAAAGGAGTCTGGGACCAACGCTGTCCCCACTTCACAGATGGGAAAACTGGGGGATATACACACATATACACTATGTTAACAAGTGGCTCTGCAGTGCTAGGGGCCTCTAAGCCCGGTGAGTTCAGCTGTTGGGAGGCAATGGTCTGGGGCTGGGAGCAGCAGCGTCAGCAAGTGCCTCCAAAGAGTGTGGGCCCACAGCCTCATACAGCGCCTTCCTCCAGGGATCTCAGTCCATGTGTGAGAAGGGCCTAAGGAGGCAGACCTGGTGTGGCTGGAATTCCCTAGAGTCTAGTTCAGCCGTGGGCAAACTACGGCCCGCGGGCCGGATCCGGCCGTTTGAAATGAATAAAACTAAAAAAAAAAAGACCGTACCCTTTTATGTAATGATGTTTACTTTGAATTTATATTAGTTCACACAAACCCTCCATCCATGCTTTTGTTCCGGCCCTCCGGTCCAGTTTAAGAACCCGTTGTGGCCCTCGAGTCAAAAAGTTTGCCCACCCCTGGTCTAGTTCCATGGTGGCCCTGAGGGCACACTTCATGAAAGTGGGCCTTTGTGTTGTAGCAACAAGTGCTGTGGCCAGGACGGCCCAGCCGGGGATGGGGGCAGTTGGCGGGCTGCCTGGTAAACAGCCCATGGAGCTCCTCTATGACATCTCACCTCCCAAGAACCCTGTGAAGGAAAAGCTGTGCGCCAACCCCCAGATGGGGAGACTGATGCTCACAACTTACCCAGGGACACAGCCAGTGGGCAGCGGTCGGGCATCTGGCTCCAAGTCCACTGCGTTGTCTGCTCCACCAAGCCACTAACCTCCTCACCCCCCACCCCACCCCCCAACACACACACACACACACACACACACACACACACACACACACACACAAAGGGAGGTGCACAGAGGCAGCAGGAGGAAAAGGGGAGACCTAACTGAGGATCCCAGATTTGGCTGGCTTCACAGTTTCACTCCAGCTGGCCCTGCCTTCCTGTCCTGAGAGGTGGTTAAAGGAAGCTCTGAGGAGGAAAGGTCAGGCTGGGAGAGAAGCGGGAGCTCGCCAAAATCCACACCCTGCTCTCAGAGCAGCAGGCTGAGCCAGCTGGCGGTGGGGGCAACAGAGATGAAGGAGCAGAAACTGGCCCCTGCTCTCGGGGGCTCCCAGGCTGCAGGGTAGAGGGCGCTGAAACAGAATAGGAGATGCCAGGCAGGGGGCTGGGACACTGATCCCAGGACCTCTCTGCCCCATCCCCCTTCTCCCACTGCCAGCCACACCTTGACCATCCCAGCCCTGCTCCCTCCCTCCTCTGAGCGCTGTCACACCTCCAGCTCAAACCAGTCATTTGGCTCTTGGCTTATAACCCTGAGTTGACTTTTTATTATATGTCTACATCTACCATCCCAACTAGATCAGAATCTCCTCCAAGGCAAAAGCTTATGTCCTCTGTTACAGTACATTTTTGGTGGAAAAAAAATGGTTATTTAGGAAGTGATCATTTTGGGCAATGCAGTGGTATGTTTATGACAAAGCTGGACAATGCATCGCGGCCCCAGACCTCCGTGACGTCATTCGGCTTGTGACGTCACCGTCGCTGGCTACTGTGGTGCTCCGCAGCCCACAGGCAGGATGACGCAACCGTCAGAACCGGTGCGGACCTGTGCGCGCTGGAGATGTTAGCGAGGCTGGCGGCTAGAGGTACCGGGAGAGGGCGAGGAGAAACCGGCAGAGAAGCCCAAACTGGGTGGTGTTCGCATGGCCTCGACTGGCCCCGCCTCCGCGATGACAGACGCGGGTCAGCCAATCCGGGCCGGCCGCGGGGAAGCGCAGCCTATCAGCGGCCGGGGCTCGGCCTGCGCTTCCGTGTTCGTTCGCGAGCGCCCCGCGCGAGTCCGCGGGGGAGGGGACGGAGGCCCAGGCAACGCACCGGGGCTCCCCACGGCGCTCCCCCGCGGCGCTCTCCGCCTGGCCTGGCGGGTCTGCGGGCCCAGGCCGCCGCCTCCCAGGGGACCGGATGGCCTCGGAAGGCCCGGCGGGGGAGCTGGAAGCGGTGCTGGGGGGTCAGGGGCTGCGTGTGCAGAGCTGGGACTCGGAGCCGGCCGGGGAGCTGCCGGCACCCGTGCGGCTGCGGAGGAACGTCTGCTACGTGGTGCTGGCCGTGTTCCTCAACGAGCAGGTGAGCGTCCGCCGCCGGCCCGGCCCGCCGCCTGCGCCCGGAGCGCGCAGCCAGCCCCGTGGGGACCGAGGACCTACCGGCAGGAACCAGCGCTTCTTTGTGGGTGGCGCTTCCCAGTTTTGCAAAGCACCGTCATACTGACCACTGAGCCTTGTGCGCCGAACCCTGAACCCTGCGATTGTCAGACGCCCGCACAGAGGAGGAAACCGAGTCTGTCTCATCGCACTAGGCCTCGGCCCCTAACGGGGAGGCGCCTAACGGGGAGCGCTTGTATTCCTCTTCCTTTCCCGCAACGTAGCGAGCACAGGCTGGCGGAGTGGGCGCT